GGGTCGATCGTCTGCTTGGAATTGTCGCTGGTGTGCGCTGGGTCTTGGTGCGGTGGGCCTGATTTGCTTGTTTTTGCGTTGATGCTGGTATGTTGTGTGTGGGATGGGTACTTGCCTTTGTTGCGCTGCTGGGTGGATTTGATTGGGTCGTAGCTGGAAGTCTGCGTGCTGGGCGTCTTGCAACCTTTGTGGTTTGTTGGATGCCATGTTGTATGTTGGCCTTTGCCGTGCGACTGTTGGAGGTAATAGGTTCCCTTGCCTTTGCCTTTGGCTTGGTGTGCTGGTGCCTGTCCGTATGCGTCGACGAGTTGGTTGCACATGTGTTCTGTCGTGTTGCGTGGTCGTCGTGCGCTGTGGTGTTGGTGAAGAAGTTGTTGTGCGCGCTGCTGCTCTTTTTCCCCTTTTTTCCCGTCTGTGCTACGCTAGGTCCGGAGCCGTAGTCAGAGTCGCGGTGGTTGTGAGTGCGTGTGAAGTGGATGTCGAGGTCGACGTGGGGTGCTGTCCGTTCGACTGGTGCGCTCGGGCGCCCGGTGCCGATGCCGACGTCGTGGACTCTTGTGCTAGCGTGACGCTAAAAAAAAGAAGACAGGAAGTCAAAAATAAAATGTGCTGCGTGACGCAGGAGAGAATAAAGATGTAACAAATGAACAATGAGTGCTATGCAGAATGCAAAGAAGGGGTATACCGGTATGGTAGGGAATGGGGATGTGGCTGACCTGGTTGTGGTCTGCGCGCTGCTCCCGACACGCCAGAATCTCTCGACGGTCACGGGCTTCCTCCTCCTCCTCTTCCTCCTCCTCCTCTTCCTCCTCCACCTCCTCCTCCTCCTCTTTCCTCCGCCTCCTCCTCCGCCTTCTGGTCCTCTTCCTCCTCATCCTCCTCCTCCTCCTCTTCCTCCTCTTCCCCTTACCCCGCCCCCCGATATCATGTTCCTCGTCCTCCTCCTCCTCATCCGCCTCCTCATCCTCATGCTCCGCCTCTTCCTCCTCCTCCTCCTCCTCCTCTTCCTCTCCCCCTTCCCATAATCATCACATCATCATCATCATCATCATCATCATCATCATCATCATCATCATCATCATCATCAACAACAACATCATCATCAGTATCATCGAGAGAGCGTGATCCACCGCCGCTTTACTGTGGAAAATTGCCAACCTTTTCCTCCGGAACCCGGGGGTCGCCCCCGCACCCCTCCGAAAATCCCCCCCCCCCTGCTGAAACCCCTCCCCCCCCCCCCCCCCCCCCTCCCCCGGCAAAACCCCCCCCCTAACCCTCCCCCCCCCCCCCCCGCCCCCCTCCCGCTCGAAAACCGGGGGGGGTCACTACGGTTCGAACCCCCCTCCCCCCCCCCCTACCGGATCCCACTACACCCCCCCCCCCCCCCCCCCCCCCTACTCACCGCCAGCAAACGACTCCCGGTTCCCACCACCGTCCGCATCACATCCCCCACTGGTGTTCCCAGCACCACTGTCCTCACCACCGCTGTCCCCAGTGGTTCCACCACCGCCCCTACTGTCCCCACCAGTCCCCACCAGTGGCCCCACCACTGTCGCACTGTTCCCGCTGTCCCCAGAACTGTTCCCACCACGGTTCCACTCTCCCCACTGTCTCCACGGCCCCAACCACTGCCCGACTATCCCCACTGTCCCCACTGTCCCACTGACTCCTCCGCTGTCCCACTGAGCTGTCCCACTGTTCCCACCACTGTCCCCACTGTCCCCACCACTGTCCCCACTGTACCTCTGTCCCATTGTCCCACCGCCGTCCTCGCCACCGCCTTCACCACTGTCCCCACCACCATTGTACCCTCCACTGTCCCACTGTTTCCACCTCATTCCCATTGTCCCCGCACCACTGTCCCCACACCACTGTCACCACCACTGTCCACTGTCCCGCCCTGTTCCCACCATTGTCCCCACCGCTGTCCCCACCACTACCGTCCCCACCACTGTCCCACTGTCCCACTGTCTGCACCACTGTCCCGCTATCCCCTCACCACTGTCCCCACCAACACCGTCCCCACCACTGTCCGCACCCCCACTCGGTTTTCGAGGGGGGGGGGTTCGAACCGGTAGTGACCCCCCCCGGTTTTCCGGATCCGGAGGGGGGGGAGGGGTTCGAACCGGTAGTGACCCCCCCCCCTTTTCATGATGAGCAGGGGGGGGGGGGGGGGGGGGGGGGAGGGGTTCGAACCGGTAGTGACCCCCCCCGTTTTCCGGAGGGGGGGGGGGTGGGGGGGGGGGGGGTGGTGGGGGGGGGGGAGGGTTCGAACCGGTAGTGACCCCCCCGGTTTTCCGCCAGCAGCGGTAGACACGCTCTTTCGTATCATCATCATCATCATCATCATCATCATCATTCATCATCATCATCATCATCATCATCAGCAGCATCAGCATCATCATCATCATCATCAGCATCATCATCATCATCACCATCACCATCATCAGCATCAGCATCATCATCATCATCACCATCATCATAATAAGCATAGTCAGCATCATCATCAGCATCAGCATTGCCTTCATCAGCATTGCCTTCTGGTTTCCTCCTCCTCCTCCTCTTCCCCTTCCCCCGCCCCCCGAGGTCCTGTTCCTCGTCCTCCTCCTCCTCCTCATCATCATCATCATCCGCCTTCTCATCCTCATTCTCCGCCTCTTCCTCCTCCTCCTCCTCCTCTTCCTCCTCCCCCTTCCCATCGCCATCACCATCATCATCATCAACAACATCATCAGCAGTATCATCATCAACATCATCATCATCACCATCATCAGCATCAGCAGCATCAGTATCATCATCATCAGCATCGTCATCATCATCAGCATCATCATCATCATCATCATCATCATCATCATCATCATCATCATCATCATCATCATCATCCATTACCATCACCATCATCAGAATAAGCATAGTCAGCATCATCATCACCATCAGCATTGCCATCATCAGCACCATTTTCGTCGGCATCATCATCGTCACCATCATCATGAACAGCAGCGTCATCATTACCAGCATCACCCTCATCATCAGCAGCATCATGAGCATCATCATTATCAGCATCAGAATCGTCAGCATGATCATCGGCAGCAGCAGCATCACAAACACCACCACCAACACCATCATCATCATCAGCAGCATCAGTATCGTCAGCATCATCATCATCATCAGCAGCAGCATCATCAGCAGTAGCAACATCATACTCAACAGCAGTATCATCATCGTCGTCACCATCAGCATCATCATTATTATCACCATCAGCAGCACCACCGCCACCACTACCACAACAATCATCAGAATCATCAGAATCAGCATCATCACCGTCATAATCACCATCATCATCACACCCACCAGAACCAACACCACCGCCACCACCGCCAACGTCATCATCATCCTCATCAGCAGCAACATCATCAGCATCCCCAGCATCAGCATGAGCATCAGCATCATCATCAGCAGCATCACCAACAATACAAGCAACCACACAAAAAAAACAACAGCAACAAACAGCAGTAGCAGCAACAACAACAACAACAACACCAGCAGCCGCAGCAGCAGCAGCGATGACGATGATAACAACAACAACAACAACAAAAACAACAACAACAACAACAACAGCAGCAACAACAACAACAACAAGAACATCAACCAAACCAACATCGATATCATTAGTAGCATCCGTGTCATCATTATCAGCGCCATCATCCTCATCATCATCAGCATCATCACCCTCCCCAACATCAACATCAACAGTAATAAAATTATCCCAGTGCGACCCTACGTAGGAGTTGGAGGATCTAGGGAAGCAAAATCAAACACTTATATGAAGCTAAGCTAAGCTAAGATGAAGCTAAGCTAAGATGAAATAAGATAAGCTAAGATGAGATAGGCAACGCTAAGCTAAGGGAACGTCGCTGGGGGAACCGCGGAGCGGATGCCGGGGGAACCTCCCGGGGCGTTTCCCACTGCCGGGGGAGCCACTACCGGGGGAACCGCTATGCTGTGCTCTGCTATGCTAAAGCTCAGCGAAGCTAAGATGAAGGTAAGCTAAGCTAAGATAAAACTGAGGTAAGATGAAGCTAAGCTAAGCTAAGGTAAGATGCAATAAGCTAAGCTAAGATGAGATAAGCAACGCGAAGCTAAGGGAACGTCACTGGGGGAACCGCGGGGCGGATGCCGGGGGAACCGCCCGGGGCGCATTCCACTGTCCGGCCCTTTAAGCCTCAGAGTAAGAACCCTTCTAGGCAGAGCCTAGGTAGGGAAATTCGCCAAGTCATGACCATCATCACCGTCATCATCACCATCATCATTATCGTCCTCACCAGCATCATCAATCATCAGCAGCATCAGCATCATCACCATCATCGGCAGCGGCAGCATCCTCATCATCGGCATCCTCATCATCGTCATCGCTGTCATCATCCTCATCATCATCATCAGCAGCAGCATCAACATCCTCCTCATCATCATCGTCATCGTCATAATCATCATCAACATCATCAGCACAATAAGCATCATCAGAAGCATCAGCATCCTCATCATCATCAGCAGCAGCAGCATCATCATCGTCGTCAGCATCGTTCATTCTCCGCATGCGCATGCGCGTCCCCCTCCGCCTCCGCCTCCAGAGGATGGGGATTCCGATGAAATCGAACGGCAACGGCTCTCCCCGTGCTCCTCCCCTCTGCTGCTGCTCCTCATGGTGCTGAGGATGGAGGAGGACGAGCAGCAGGAGGAGGAGGAGGGGGAGGCTCTGGGACCCCACGGCCCCGAGGGGGCCCAGGCGCATCGCAGGAGAAGGAAGAGGAGGAGGAGGAAGGCAGGAAAACGAGGGGGGAGGGAGGAGTGAAGAGGGAGAAGCAGCAGAAGGAGGGGGGAGGAGCAGCAGAAGGAAAGAGTGATGAGGGAGGAGCCCAAGAGGCGGGATGAGCAGCAGAAGGCGGGAGGAGGGAGGAGCAGCTTCCCAGGGAGCTATGGGCGGCTGGCGCGGGCGCGGGGTCCACGAGGCGAGCCCAGCGGCGGAGAGGCCCCACGGCAGCACGCTGAGGGCCGCCTGCTCCCCGCCGCGGCGGGTGGGGGGAAGTCGCTCATCAGCGACAGCATCATCATCATCATCATCATCATCATCATCATCACCACCATCCTCCTCCTTCTCCTCCTCCTCCTCCTCCTCCTCCTCATCATCATCATCATCATCATCGTCATCATCATCGTCATCATCATCATCAGCAGCAGCATCATCATCGCCATCATCAGCAGCAGCATCATGATCACCAGCACCGTCAGCAACACCATCATCAACATGAAAATCAACATCAGCATCATCATGATCATCCTCATCATCATCATCAGCAGCAGCATCATCATCACCATCGTCATCATCGTCGTGATTATCACCATCAGTACCATCATCACCATCCATCAGTATCATCATCATCATCAACGTGATCACCACCATAATCAGCATCATCATCAGCATCATCATCATCATCATCATCGTCAGCATCATCATCAACAGCATCACCATCATCACCAGCATCAGCATCAACAGCATCAGCATCATCAGAAACATCATCAGCATCAACAGCATCACGATCAGAATCACCATCATAATCAACGACATCATCATCATCACAATCATCATCATCAGCAGCAGCATCATACTCCTAATCATCGTCATCAGCAGCATCATCCTCATCATCCTCATCATCCTCGTCATCAGCATCAAGGTCATTGTCATCATCATCACCATAACCATCACCATCAACATCACCATAAAAATCATCTACATCATCCTCATCATCAACATGAGAATCATCATCCTCATCATCATCATCATCATCATGATCATCCTGATCATCCAAATCATCCTCGTTCTCGTCATCATCATCATGATCATCAGCAGAAGCATCATCAACATCAACCTCATCATCATTATCAGTATCAGCATCAGCATCGGCATCATCATCCATCAACATCAGCATCATCAACATGATCACCATCATAATCAGCATCATCAACAACATCATCACCATCGCCAGCATCATCATCATCATCATCATCATCATCATCAACAGCATCACCATCATAATCAGCATCATCAGCAGCATCATCAGCAGCAGCATCATCAACAACATCATCACCATCATAATCACCATCATCATCAACAGCATCATCATCAGCAGCATCATCATCATAATCAGCATCAGCATCATCATCATCAGCATCATCCTCATCATCCTCATCATCAGCATCATGATCATCGTCATCATCATCATCGTCATCAGCATGATAATCATCATCCACATCATCATCATCATCATCATCATCATCATCATCCTCATCATCATCATCATCATCATCATCATCATCCTCGTCATCATCATCAGCAGCAGCAGCAGAATCAGCAGCAGCATCCTCCTCCTCCTTCTCCTCCTCTTTCTCATCATCATCGGCAGCATCAGCATCATCATCATCATCATCATCATCATCATGCCAGGATCGTTGAGTTCAGACTCTGTCCGCGCTTCAGACTCCGCCCTCTGGGTGGATCGCCCACCCCCACTCGTCGCCGTCATCCGTCCGCTATTGGGGTCAGCTTGGAGTCATCGCGGGGTCGCATCAGGATCGCGGGGTCAGCTTGGGGTGCCTGGGCATGGCTATGCACTTGCGTGAGACATCTTCGCAATTGAGTGCCTCTGTTTCAGGTCAGCTATGTTTCCGGGCTCGCCTCATCTTTTTCACGCCCAGGAGCGCGTATGAACACTGCGGTCTCCAAGGCCCCTCGTCCTCCTCCTTCCCCGTCCTCCCTCCTCTATGTCATTGTCGTCCTGCCTCTTGCTTCTCTTCCGTGGGGGCTGCGAATTGCGAAACTGTCGCCACTATCGTAGGCCATATGGAGGTCCAGCGGAGTGGTGTCCCACAGCGATCAGAATGGGACCTCGCCGTTCCTGGGAGCTGCGAACTGCGCAGTTGTCGCCACTTTTTTGGGCCCCTGGGCGGTCCAGCGGAATGGGGTGCTCCAGGACGCCGCGGAGGGCTGAGGTTGAAGCCATAGATTTTGGAATAGCGTTCCAAACACATTCAGCCCCAGGTTTTGGAATGCCGTTTCAGAAGCATTCACCCCTAGATTTTGGAATACCGTTCCAAACACAATCAGCCCCAATCTTTGAGCCTACGCTATCTGTTCACTGCTACCCGCCGCCGTCGTCGTCGGCAGGCTTAGTCGGCAACCAGGGGGGGACAAGTTTGCTATCGCGTTGTGGTGTTCATGTTCGCCGTCGTCGTCATCGTCGTCGGCAGTTGAGTCCGGAACCAGGGGGGAACTTTGTTCACGTGTTGTGGTCTTCATTTTCGGGTCGTCGTCGTCGTCGTCGGCAGGCTGTCCGGAATCATCCTCCATCGGGCCGCTCTCGCATGGGACCTTGGAGACGAGCGCAAAGAAGTGTAAGGGAACGGGAAGGAGGACGAAGGATGAGGAAGGGAGGGCGGGGGTAGAAAGGGGGTTATGAGTGGGGGGCGAGGGGGGGGATGAGCAGGATGAGGGCGTGGAGGATGACAATGACGACGACGAGGGGCAGAGAAGGAGTGCACAGGGGAAACGAGAAACATGATGACTTCTGGGCCCCTCCACCTTGTTGCTTTCCAGGGGGTCGCAAGGCCATCGGAAGCCGAGCGGCGAGTACCGTGGCGAAATCATCCCTTGGGTTCGCGGCCTTGCGAGGGCGTCCCTTGGAAGCGAGGCTGTAGGCACCTCAAGCCGTCCCAGCGCCCTCATGGAGCTTGAAGCTGTTTCAACTCCAAACTCTTCAAACAGTGCCTGCATTCAGGCTTCTTTTTTGTGGTCACAAGAGCTGGGACAGGGTGGGGGGCTGGCGGCTATGTGGTCGCCGTCGCCGCCCCGTCGCCGCCTCGTCGCCGCCGGTCGCCTGGGCCTGGCTGGCGTTATGTCGGCTATGTGGCCGCCGTCGCCGCCCTGTCGCCGCCTCGTCGCCGCCCGTCGTCTGGGCTTGATTTGCGGTCTGGCGGCTATGTGGCCGTCTTTGCCGCCGTCGATCGTCGCAGCTGCTCAGCTTGCACATAGCTTGCACCGCAAATATTGATTCACATAGCCTGCGCCACATTTATAGAGCCACGTAGATTGCTTAACATTGCGTGCACCTCAGAGATTGCACCACATAGACTGCTCAACTGAGCTTGAAGCATACAAGGTGCACCACATATATTGGATTACATTTATTGCACCAAAAAATCGCACAGCATGGCTAACATCACATCTGTTGCACCAAACAACTTGTACCACATAAATTGCACCACGTAGCTTGCACTACATAGACAGGTAGCTCGCCCCACAGAACTTGCACCACACATACTTGGCCATTTATGTTTATTTGTTGCACCACAGATCTTACTCCACGCAGCTCACAACATACATTGCACCATCTATAAGATCCACATGGATGGCAACACAGACATTACATCACGTAATTCGCACCACATGGCTTGCACCACATAGATTGCACCGCAAACATTGCGCCACGTGCCCAGACCACGTAGCTCATACCACACAGGTTGCACCACATATAATGCACTTCTACCTCGCATCACATAGCTTGCACCATATAGATGTGTGTCCACGTTGGCTAACATTCTACCTCGTTGCTCGATTGTGCAGGCTATCCCAAGCGATCGGGGGCAAGATTGGTGTTGTCACCGGCAGCCTTGGGCGCTCTAACGGATCGCGGCCGCTCCGTCCAGAACCCCCGGGAGGGAGCATGGGAGAGGGATTCAAGGGGAATGCTCTCATACCGGCCTTCCGGCGAAGCGCAGGCGAGGTTAAAGAGGGAACTGGTGAGGGGGAGGCAAGGGAGGAGGGGGAGGATGAGGAGAATTGGGAGGATCGCGCGCCATTGTTGGAAACGAGAAAACGACAGAACGTCCGACTGGTCTAAAGCGACCCTGGGACAGGGGGGCCATCGGAGAGGACTTCTTTGTCACCTCACCTCGCTATGGGGCCACGAAGCGTGTGAGGGAGGTGCGAACATTATAGGGAACCGCATGTGGAGCCTCCCGCTGTGGCCTTCGGTGGATCTCCCTATTGGGCCACGAACCGTGTAAGGGGTATGGGAGCCGCATATGGGCCCTCCCACTGGGCCTTTCGGTGGAGCTCCCTCTGGGGCCACGAAGCGTGTAATGGACGGAGAACCGCATGTGGATCTTCCCAATGGAGCCTTCGGTGGAACTCCCTATGGGGCCACGACGCGCGCGAAGGTTGCATGGGGCCACGAAGCGTGTGAGAGCTTGCCGACATGAGAGGGGAATCGCATGTGGCTTTCCTGTGGCTTTGGAATGCTATCGAACGCGACGCGGCGAGACAGCAAATATAATGTCGAAATCTTCCGTTGGGTTTGTGGACGGTTTGGGCCTCTCGGGGGCAATCCTGGGAAACTCTGTAGCCACTTCGGCCCGTTCCAACGTTCCTCATGGGGCCTCTTGGAGGCATGTTGGAGGCCATACCCACTGCAAGTCGAACCTTGTTGTGCGATTTTCGGGGCCGTCCTCGACTATCTGGGGCCTCCTCGAACCCATCGTCTGAGATATTGGACGCTCTGTGTGTCTTGCCCCCCCCGTCCAGACCTCGGGCAGGGAGCGTGGAGGGTGTTCAAAGGCCACAGGAACTTGAGTGTTGAGTCCCGACCTCGGGCAGAGCTCTATTGGCCGTGGCCCCCATTCCCAAAACCTTCGGGCAGGGGCGATGGAGGGTAGGTTCGAAGGGAAAAAACGCTTGTTGGGTGCTCAAGAAAACCCCGCGCGTTGCGCGCTTGACCCCGCGATCGTGGGGGGGGGATCCCCCCCCCCAAGATCGCGGGGTCAAGCGCGAGACCCTGCGCCCATCCGCTCTCCCACGACAGGCGTGAGCGCGCTGAGTGCGCTCACGCTTGTCGTGGGAGACCGGATGAGCGCGGGGTCAAGTGCTTGACCCCGCGTTCTTGGGGGGAGGGATCCCGCCACCCAAGATCGCGGGGTCAAGCGCTTGACCCCGCGCCCGTCCGC